TTTATTACTGTTTACTGCTCTTTATATTATATTTTTAACATAGAAACATTTAATTTCGTTATTTTTGAAGGCATCTTTGCTCTACAGCGTTTCTTTGCATGTATGCTGATGTGACCTTATACAGTATATTTCATTCAAATGGTAACGTGTATATGCACAGTGTATAACACACTGTTTGCAAAGAGGGACCAGAAACAACCTGGAAGCAGCTTATGAACTGATTCTCAACAACATGATGATGATGGAGTGTCACCTCTGCTTGGACAGGTGTAGCTACAGGGATTATCATCAACACTGGTGACCGCACCATCATCGGGCGCATCGCCAGCCTCGCCTCAGGAGTGGGCAACGAGAAAACCCCGATCGCCATCGAGATCGAGCATTTCGTCGACATCATCGCTGGTCTGGCCATCTTCTTCGGCTTCACGTTCTTCGTGGTCGCCATGTTTATCGGTTACGCCTTCTTGGAGGCCATGATCTTCTTCATGGCTATCGTGGTAGCTTACGTGCCTGAGGGACTTTTAGCTACTGTCACTGTAAGTACAAAAAAAATTATTACTCTAGATTCTAGCTAACTGCAATTCTGCTAAATTGCAGTTTCTTTTCACTGCAGATTCTTTTCACACCACAAGAGGATGCGACTGCCTGATACATAAACCTTTTCAGCAATTTTTTTTTTTGCAAATCTATTTTAAAAATCATGGCACCCCCTGCTGATCCAAGGGGCCCAAAGCAACCACTTATATCGCTTGTAGCGAGAAACAGCACTGTGCTTTTGACACGTCAAGAAGGATAGTAAAAACCTGTCCAATAAGTGTTAATCACCCTACAATTGAAATATTTCTTCAAACACAAGTGTAACTGCAGCTGCGGTGTGCGTAAAAAGAAAGAAAAAAAACGCTTCAGAAACCCATCCAGTGTGAATTAGTGTCACGTAGTAGAGGCTGAAGCTAATGCAATTGCAGATCAGAGTTTTATTAAAAGGCTCTGGCAAACAAATCCACAACAAAAGACGTAAACAGTAAACAGGCAGAGGTCAGACGATCATCTAACAAAATCCAGGAAACACAACCAGAATATAACAACACAGCTCAAACTGCTTGGTAAAGTCTGTGTGTGTGTGTGTGTGTGTGTGTCCAATATACTGTATAGCGCTGGCTGTGATTGGTGACAGGTGTGCATGATTAGAAGTCCGGTAACTGTGAATGTGACAAGATGCTTGGGCTATGGGAAGTGTATTTTGAGGCGGTCATGTTTGTAGGCTGCAGTGCATTCTGGGAAATGGAGTTTGTTGCCGTTACCTGGGTTGACCTAAAGAAGTAAAAGAAGTAAAATCTTTACTAAACTATCATTTAAGCCTCTTTGCAATGTATTACCCTGTTTACCTTTTTTATTTTCTAGCAAATTGTCTAGTAGTTTTCTAGTAATTGTGAATTCTATGTTGCCCCATACATGTCATTTTAACTCCAAATAACAGAAATATTAACAAGAGAAGGGAGAGATGAAGGTCGTGTGCCTTCTCGAACTCACCTTCTTATTTAAAAAGTCCACTTACACACTGTTTTATCTCACCTTGTTACTCCAAAGTCAAAATGTCCTGTACACAATCTCCATTATGTGAAAGTGACCTTTAAATATTTACGCAGATATGAGCGCAAACAAGAGCTGGAGGTATCATAAACCTGCGTTATATAAGAAGCCATTATTTACACATTTGATTTTTGTACGTTGGATATATTTATGTGCCTTTACAGTGTAAACTGTGTATTTCTGAAGGTGTGTCTGTCCCTGACCGCCAAACGTCTGGCCAGGAAGAACTGCGTGGTGAAGAATCTGGAAGCCGTGGAGACTCTGGG